TATGATTCCTAACGATCAAATGCATCCAGGAGAAAGGGGTCGACCATTCTCTCCTAATATGGAGAAATATCCTTACGAACGAAGGGGTGATCGACCTCCACCGATGAGGCAGAACTATGATGAAGATAGTTGGGGTAGGAGATGGCCAGATAACAGAAACACTCCTGATCGGTTAGACTATCCCCAGGGTCCACCTAGGCGTCCTCCGCGAGAACATAGGCTGCCACATCCAGATTTTTACCCTGATCCTCGACATCCGCTCCCTCCTAACTTTGTCCCTCCACATAAACGTCCACCTCCAATGGGACCTGGTGGTCAACCGCCTGACCATATGAGAAAATATCCCCGACAAGACCCTTCTCGAAGCAAACCACCATGGACTGGATACAGTCGATGGTAGCCCAGAATTAAACAATCCTTGTACAGTCTGAGCAGCTCCGATGCTGCTCTTCTCCAGTTACATTTCTGCATTCTTAATAAATGCATATTAAACTTGTGTAAACTACTTTTTTAATGTGCTAGCTGTCATTGGGACTTTGGACGTACACTCATAATCCGCACTAATATTGTGTACACAAGCTACGACAGCATATTTTTGTAATATCAATGCAAGTAACTTTTGTCTTAACACGGGGAGGAAGTCAGACATGTCTGGCAGGGGATTTTTGGACTGAGAATATGTGGGCCCACTGCTTTATTCATCTAGAATAGCGGAAGTTTGCTCAAAAACTAAGCGATGGGGGGGTGGGCAAATTCAAACACTTGATAGGTTTTAAATCGTCTAATGAACACCAACTTTCTTGATAGCCTGTAAATTTGCCGTACGCAAAACCGGGAATAGGTGTAAATGAATTGTGCTGGTTTTTCACACGATCTAAACGCTTTATCAGCGTAATCGTAATTCGTCCGAGTAGATTGGTAACGATAAGCATAACGGTCAGTCAGTCAGCTACAACGTAGGACCAGGCACATATGTGCATCGGTCCAGGTCGCCATACCTCATTAGCACAGCAAGATGAACAGCGGATTCATAGCAGTGGTTAGGTCAAAGGTGGTAATATATAAGAGAAAGATTGCATATAGAGATATAGTACAAGGAAGAATTGGTTCGTAGAAAGAAAGATATGAAGCGATTTTAATCTCTTAGTTTAAGGGAAGACAGAGAGTGTATACACCGACGCCATTGTGATCGATTCTGAGCCATGTCACCCACAGTCTCCAACCATTGGTTACGAAAGTCACGCGGACCCCAACCAAGTAGTGTGCATCTACCAACATGGCTCAGACTAGAGGTTAGTGTCTTCAAGCACTGATGTCATGTTTGGGTTTGGCCGCCCCTAACTTTCTTCAAACCATCCCCAACACCGCTTAGCATTGCACGCCGTAGTAATCGGTGTTCGGGCATACGTAACACGTGGCTCAACCATCTCAGTCGATGAGGACTCAACTTCATCAACTGATTTACCATCATTCCCTAATACCCTGAGTGTAACCTCACTATTACTTACCCTGTGATCCCAGCAGACGCCAGCAATATTTCTAAGGCATCTGTGGTCAAATACTAGTAGCTTACGAGTGTCTTCTACTCTTAATGGCCATGTTTCGCTGCCGTAAAGTGGAACAAAAGGGACTGCCGCGCAGTATACTCGTCCTTTTATTGATAGACGGATATCTCGCCTTCGCCAAAGGTGACGCAAGTTGGCACAAGCCAAGCGAGCTTTTCGAATCCGTGCTGAGATTTCGTCAGACATCAACCCATTAGGGCTGATCAGACTTCCAGAATAAGTGAAGTTGTCAACGCGTTCGACTACTTCACTCCCTATCCTTAGTTCAGGTGTTGATGCAGACCACTCCTGAGGCAACAACTTGCATTTAGAGGGAGAGAAGCGCATTCCAAACATCCTGGCATTGTTGCTTAGTGCTACCAGAAGACTCTGCATTTTGTCAGCGTCTTCACCAAACAGGACTATGTCATCTGCGTATTCTAAGTCGATAAGTGGACCTCCTGGAAGGAGATCAATACCCGAGAACTCAGTCGACGAGAAAGTTATTTCCATCAGTAGATCTATGATGAAGTTAAACAAAAATGGAGAAAGTGAGCAGCCTTGACGGACACCACTTGAGGTTGCAAAAGTAGATGACAGTTCGCCATAAGCTCTGACTCGACTAGTAGTGTTCGAGTAAAGAGCCTTTACAAGGTTTATGTACTTCTGGGGTACGCCTTTCAATGACAGACACTGCCACAGAATCTCGCAGTCTACCGAGTCAGATGCTGCTTTTAAGTCAAGAAAGACCACCATTGTCGGACGCAGATAAGCATGCCTGTGTTTTAGAACCTGGTGAATGGTGAATATGTTGTCGATGCAGCCACGACCAGGTCTGAAGCCAGCTTGATTCTCTCGTGTTTGCAGTTCGCGAGTCCTTGTTAAGCGTACGACAGCTATTGAGGCTAGTATTTTAGATACTATATTAGTCGAACTAACCCCCTCTATGGTTGTCACAGGATGTGATTTTAAACCTCTCTTATATATTGGGATGATAAGTGATTGTGACCAGTTAGATGGGATAACGTCTAACTCCCAGATCTTAGCTAAAATATTAGTCAACCTAATCGCTAAAATTGGACCACCATCCTTAAAGACCTCTGGAGCCAATCCATCTGGACCAGCTGCCCTTTCTCGTTTCAGATTAACTATAGCCTTTTGAACTTCAGCAAGAGTTGGGGGACCTACTTCAATGTTCCATTCACACTGTCTGGGGATGGAGGGTAGTTGTAGAGTAGTTGGAGGCCAGCTGAACTGTTCTCTGAAATGTTCCGCCCATCGTTCTAAACATCTGGACTGAGATCAGATGAGGGCGTCGTCTTTTTCGGAAATAGTCTGACTTACACTTGACTTATTAATTCCAGTTTCTTTTATTAGTCTGTAGAACTGTCTTGTGTTCCCTATAGCCGCCGCCTTTTCCTTCTCTTTTGCTTTCGTTGCCCACCGCTGCTCACGGTCGTTCCTTAGACTTTTGCCTAACCTAGATCTGATTTGTTTTCGCTCTTCATCGTGTTCAGAGCCTGATGGGATGAGTTTACGAGAATCCATCAGTGCAATAGACCTAGAGGAAATCCATTGGTTCCTTGTAACCCTTTGGTTTAAATTACCGATAGATATCACTGCTGTTTCCACAGCTGTTTGTATAGCTTTCCAAGCAACATCTGGGTCAGCCTCGTTTTCAGAACTACCTAAGTGTGACCTCAGTTGTTCCTGGAAACTACTTTTGGTTTTCTCGCTACTCAATTCAGTTCTAATGGGTCTTTTTACTGTGGCTTTTTTGCGTCTAATGAGGCGCAAGCAGATGCGTGCCCGTATTAGGGCGTGGTCGGAGTCCAAGAAGGTACTCCAGGATGAGCGACAATCTTCTACCGACCCTCTCCAACGATGACTGATGGCAATATGGTCTATCTGAGTCCATCGTTGGTTTGGTGTAGGAGGTCGCCATGTTAGACGATGTCTCCTTATGCTTAAAATTTGTGTTTGCTAAAAATAAACGATTGTCTGGGCACAGTTGCAGCAGACGGTCACCATTATCTGTTCGCTGTGCCGGAATGCTAAAGTAGCCACCTAAATGCCTTTCTGTTTGGTTTAAGCTACCTATCTGAGCATTAAAGTCACCCCCTACGAGTACTATGTCTGAGCGTTTAGCTTTCTGAAGAAGTTCGGACAGCTTTCTGTAAAATTCATCTTTCACTTCATCTGAGCTGCAGTCAGTGGGAGCGTAGGCAGAAACGACAAAAAGGCAACGACGTGTGTCCCTATCCTTCCGAGTTCTTACGGAGCCGTTTATCCGAACAGCACATAGACGACTGTTAACGGGGATCCATTCTAACAGTGCTTGTTTCGCCCTCATGCTTAGTGCTATCCCTATTCCTGCCAGTCCACTAGAGCTGGCCGTCGGGTCACCAGATACACGGAGAGTGTATCTCGCTGGCTCTCCGTTTTGCCGAGGTGAGGTCAAGTGAATGACTACACTGGAATCCTGTATGCGTGTTTCGGAGACACAGCATACATCAATGGAAAGAGACTCTAGGGTTTTAGCCAAGGAAGCCTGCTGACCGACTTGACATAGAGTGCGTACGTTGAAAGCTCCAATGTGTAGTTTGGAGAGAGAGCGTGACCGCAGTGCCCAAGGGACAACTGCTTGAGGCCGGTCGCGCACGGTCTTTTCGTGGGAGGTTTTTGACGTGTTAGCTCCGTTCTTCGAAGGGCCTTACCGCCGGAGACGGAAATCCGTGAGGTAAGGTGAGGTGCGCATTTTTAGGGTCGACCTTTTCTAACCCCACCCCTCCTTGTGGGAAGGCAGCATCGCTGACATGCTGGTTGTCTGAAGGAAACGCCTTACTGGTGTCACACCTCTGTACAGTCAGCAGTACGACTTGGCCTTCGGACCTTGGGTTTGTTGCTTTTAGTCTTACCGCTTCTCAACCGACCTGTCTGACATGGTAGGACCTTGAGGAACGGTTGTTCCAGCCAGTATAGCTCGGTTGCTTCATCACGATAGGCAAGCACGACCACCACGTCAAGGTAGCAACAACGGTCGGGATAAGCATAACGGACTACTCAGTCACACTGGCTAAGTCGCTTCTCACGCACAGCTGTCGTCTGATTGATGTTGTTCTACCACATTTGTGCAGTAACTTAAAACTAACTAAATACTTGCACCTTAGATCTATGTCCAGCTCCTATACTCTACAACTACTGGGTGGACTGCTCAAAGTGAGACATGTTTTTTAATAATTGACCAAAACCGTATACAGCGTAAGCTAGTTAACGCAACATAAAAACTTGGAATTAATCAACAGGTCTATTTTCTATCATCAAGCTAAGTATATGAGCGGACCAGTCCTTCGTATCATTTTACACTCACCGGGTACAAAACATAACCAGGATTTCGCCTCTGTAATAAGAAACCATCTCACATGCATCAGTAATTCATGTAAAGACATATCTGGACTCTGGGTGGATGCGTAAAAATACGTATATATCAACACTTTTATAAAATTGAAATATGTGTGGTGCTTATTATGAGAATGGTTAATATAAATTCCCTTTTATGAGTAAAATGTAGATGCTGAGTTTAACAGCAAAAGATAAGCTTTGACGTATTATGAATGATAACAACTTGACTTATAAGTGTACAACCAATCAGCTATATAAAAGTTCGACTGAAAAAGCAAACATCCAACTTATTTATTCTAACAAACCGTGACATATCATAAAGCAAAAGAAGGATCGAAGAAACGAGAGGTTAACAATACTACTTCTTAGGAGATAGGTTTATCTCGTCTATTATGTATTTCGTGTGAGTTCCACGTGCAACTAGTTCTCCTGACTGTTCGTTCACGAATTTGATTTCACAGAAGGCCATACGCTTCCCTTTCTTTAGTACATATGAATCTGACCTAATCCATGAATCCAATTTTCCCGGGTTTATAAATCTTCGGTGATTTTAGTTAGAATATATACGCACACAATGACTTACGATGCTTCAAGATTAACGCTGACGTGCTTCATACACCCTAATCTCATCAAATCGACAGAAGTTATAAAGTCGATAGCCCCAAGGATGTATCCACCATGTAAAGTGTTCAGTGAATTGGCTTCAGAATTCGTAACTTTGAACCTACACGTCAGGCAATTATCTGTTACTGAAACAGCTTGGATTCCTCTGAAAACCTGGTTAAATGTTCCATGGCTTGTCAATTGTGATATAATCCGGTTAACGACATTCAAAGACATCTGGAATCGGAGTCGCATATTAAATAAGAGTATACAAACGTTTAAAAAATTACATCACAATATTATTATACATTATTTCTATCTCGTGTTAAAAGTGCAGTTCCTGTCTAATAGTTTAGGTACCCAACATAAAACAACTTGACCAAGAAACTATACTTCACGTGTCATCGCAGCATACGTGACAGTCCTCCTAAGCAACTTTACCGACAAATATTTTGTTAACGTTTGTTTACGAGTTTTTACATCAAATCTAACAATTCTAGTTTCTTTATCATTAGGATTTGACTCCAAATCTTAAGTTTACTCTATCTGAGCAACATTACGAAAAGTCCGTCAGTTATTTTCTTTCATACGGATTTATGTACCACTGAAGTAGTTTTCAGTCATTCATTCTTAATCTGTAGTATTGGAATGTGAGTGTTAATGACTCTTGACTTATTTCTCATCTTTTCCGGTTTTACTATGGACATTCAGAAAGAATTTCGCTTAGCCTTGGAGTTTAAATTCCAGACAATAATTGTCGTCTTTTAATGTAATGGTTCAAATGACTTAGGTTTATGTGCCTGGTTTTAATCTATCGGGAACAAATCCGCACTTTGTTTTCAAAACAATGATATCAAAATAATTGATAAAATTATTGCACACAACAGCAGGAAACCAGGCATTAAGCTTGCATTTAGATTAAAAAATTTCTAAGGTTACTAAAACACGAGACAGTGGGTTTTCACATGTGGAACATTCTAACTCATATATATATATATATATATATATATATATATATAACAAATCCCCCGGCTACCGGGAGGTTGAAGAAGCCACCTCTTATGGTCTTACCGACCTTGAATCAGTCTACGAAGGTACGAAAAGGACGCCGTGGTAAAGTTCAACACAATTTATTTTGTCTGGCCTAAATATCTTATTTAATGATTCGGGCTACGCCAGAATTACTTATACTCGGTCTGAGAACTTTTAAATACCATCAGTGATGAATCATTTCAGATTTGTGTAGTAAGGACAGAAGGCCTACGGCCTATGTTATTCCTTTTCTAGTATGCTTCTGTGAGTGTCCAGTCTTCTCTTGAAAGAGTCAATTGAAGGTGCAGACACCACTGCTTCAGACAGCAGGTTCCAAGTATTGTTGACTCGGTGTGAAAACCTGTATGCCACGGGCATTTTGTTCGTTCTTGGCATTTCTACCCGCCTGCTATGTCCTCTGAGGTGTCCCGATCTAGTGGGAAGAAAGAGAGAGAATAAGTTAGGTCCGAAATCATTTCTCAGTATTCTGTGCATCAATATTAGATCTCCCCTTAGTCTGCGATAGGACAGAGTAAAGAGGTTCAGTTTTTCAAGCTGCTCTTTATATGATAAACCCCGGAGTTCTGAAATTGCACGCATAACTGCCCTCTGTACTTTTTCTAATATGTCTGAGTCACCTTTTAAACAGGGCCCTTGCAGCCTGAACGCAGTTCTCTAACTTAGTTCTCACTAAGAATGTGTATAATATAGTGAACATGGTAGTATCAAACTTAGTGAATGTCTTTTTTAAAGCCCAGAGGGTTCGAAACCCCTTAACTGCGATCTCCCGGCAATGGGCCGTCTTCTTAAGATCATTGCTCACTCACCCCTAGGTCCTTATGAGACCGGACTACGGGTAATGACACATCCCCTATGTTGTACGTATTAACCTTTGGATCCCCCAAGTGCATGTAGACACACTTTTCCGAGTTGATAGTCATCAGCCACTCTTTAGACCAGTTTGTCATATTATTTAAGTTCGCCTGAAGAGTAAATGCGTCTTTGTCTCCAGTTATTACTCGCCAAATTTTTACATCGTATAATAACATTGAAGACTGTAATATACTTGTAAGATCATTAACGTACATCATAAAAAGTAAAGGACCTAAGACGGAACCTTGTGGTACTCCACTAAGTACTGGTCTCCAGATGGAGGACTTGGAATTTATTCTTACTTTTTGCCTACAACCTACTAGGAAATCCTTAATCCATTTTAAAAGAGGTCCGGCAATACCAAGGTTTGCCAACTTCAATAGCAGTCTATTAGTTGGCACCTTGTCAAAAGCCTTACTGAAGTCTATGTAGACAACATCCACTGAGTCTCCGTTGTCTAGCGCATTAATTCAGAGCTCCTTAGCTATTAGGAGGTTCGTTGTACAGGATAGACCCTTTCTAAAACCATGTTGTGCCATGTTCAGCAAGTTATTGGTTTCCATAAATGCCGTTATGATCCGTTTGATTATTCTTTCCAGCATTTTAATTATAACACTGGTGAGGCTTACAGGTCTGTAATTCGATGGAACGTGTCGTAGACCTGTTTTATGTAGGGGCGTGACGATTGCGTCCTTCTAGTCCATAGGTAACACACCTTGGTCAAGTGACATTTTGAATATCACAGTCAGTGGGGCTGCGATATATTGGGCAATATGTCTCAAGATTTTAGGGCGTAGTTCATCTGGTCCTGTTGACTTCTCCATGTTTAGGGTGCTAAGAGCCATAAGCACATCGTTTTGGTCGAAGCCCACGGTGAGCAGCTGGTTTGTTGACTCTGTAATTCGGTCTGGTTCTTTGTCTAGAGGAGGTTCCTGAGTGAAAACTGCCCCAAAGTAGTTAGCCATAATCTCAGCTTTTTCCTGATCTTCCTCTATCATTTCAGATTCACTTCCTACTTTAATTAGGTTGGGAATCCAATGATGAATCTGTAGTGGCATTGGACAATAGCCACACAATCCACAAAGCTGTGAATACGAGACTACTCAGAAAATAGATATTCAATATTTAACGCGGAGAAATACCTAACAATGGAGAAGGCGCGAACAATGAATTGGATGGACTGGGTTTGATCGGATGGCATGGCTCGTCCATGCAGGCGTGGTCCATCTCAATGTTACTTTATATCTTCTATTCATATTAAATATATTGTTCTTTCTCTAGCCCAACCTTGTTCTACATCATGTATTGGTAATTGATACGATACAGTGAGTTGGTGTAGTCGATGGTGTGACTTCCACGTACGATCTTATAGATTAGGCAGTCATATCATGACAAATCTACAAATTTAGGATTAGGTCTATTATTAGAGCAGTTCTAATATCATAGTAGACCATAATTCTACATTGGTGAGCCCAACTAATGAAACGCAACCTATTATTGTTAATCCTTATTTCCACCTTAACCTTCTCAATCGGATTTTATTTTTGTAAACCCACTATTCTAATAATCCTTTGATTAATGGTCACATATATTATCGTAATGTTATATCTATTAGTTCACATAACTTACTAGTTCATTCGATAATAAAAACTGGTCGTCTATATTAACTAATTAGCTTTGATGGTTCGTTAACAAGCTTTAATAGCATTTACATGCTTCAGCGACATAGACTTGTTTAAGCATCAAGCTCTAGCAAATATGACCAGTAAATAACGCAAATATACATTGACTAACAATGCAGCAAGGACTAAATAGTTACCTGGATCTAATATTCAGTGTTCCTTATCTTATTACCTCATCCTGTTTTAAACTATACACTATCCTGTAATATATTTTCTTCCGACCACTGCCTGCCTAATTTCAAATTTTCGAGTTCCATTGCCAAACAACAAGGATGACACTTCTCTAAAAACACGGTGAGTTTCAGCCATAAGTTTTCTGCAATCATAAGGTCATTTTAGATGGCTCGTTCAATGGTGACCGCACAATTATCTGAATTCATTCGGTTGTTCTAACCCGAGCGAGTGGCAAAAACGTCAACAGCATCAAGCACCCTGGAAGTGATTGCCATACTGCATGTTTTATTCTGGATGCTTTTGGATCATGACTACTCCTCACGAATGGCGTTATATATGTCGTCCACTGAATCTAATTTTCAAAAATAACCCAGGCGAGTTCAACTATTTTACTGTATGATTTTTTTTATACTTAACATGTATATGTTTTTCAGTTGCTTTTGACACATATTTGTAAATGTCCCTAGGCTAAATCCAGCAACTTCTTATGGAATGTTTATAACGCGTCATATTCCTGCCTGAAGTTTCATAAGCAGTCTTAGCTTTAAAATTACTTTTCTGGTGATGTTCATTATTTTTAAATTGTCATATACGTCAACAACCTGCATGTTAACCTGGCCCGTACATACGTTTTACTATATCTTCATGTCTTTTAAATTTAGAAATCATCTGAATCGCCTTTAACATTTATCAATAAACCCATCATAGTTGTTGTTGCTAATCGTATTTGGGTTTATGGATTGGTTTATCATATTAGCAGCCTAAAATGCGAACATAGTTTAGATAATAAGATTAAAAATTTAAGTACTATCAACTGCACCAGTAAAATAACTAAATCCCCAGGTAGCTGTTGACTAAACAAACGTTTAAAATCAAAACTCCGTAGCCTACTAGAATTAACACTAAACGAATATTTCTGAGTTGAAATTTATAATTAACTTAGGCGTCTCGGATTCTTTAACGTTGTAAATTTCTGATGATTTCGAATCACTTAAAGCAACAATACCTGTTTTTCCACTGACTAATCCTCAGTCAACACTATAACTAGTTAAATTTAATAGTTTCAGGATATCGTCATAAAGCATTGTCATGACTTGACAATCACGTAATATGACTGATAAAATTAATGAAACTATTAACGAAATCGGTCAACAAATGGACTTATAATTACCATTAAATGGTGTTGTTTTCTTGGTATCTTCATCCATCACAGATGATTACAGTATGTTTCTCTATCAGTTGCTCATTCAGTAAATATCTCAAAACCTTGTCAATCTAATTGATGGTTTAGCGACACAATCATGCATGCAAATAATCAGTATAAGCAGTCGAGCAAATCTCCTGCAAATTGAAAACATCAATGTCGAATTTACCCCAACACTGACTAAGGTTCAAGCCATTACCATAGACATGAGTTGGGAGTGTACTACCCCTGGTTACAACCTATGTTCTCCCTGATAATCATATGAGCATCACTCACTATTAATCATCTTGTAAAAACTTATTTAGCTAAATACGTCTTGCAGCACCACATCACTTCGTAATATGACACATGGGCCTAACTGATTTTAATAACTTATAACCACTATATCTCAATTAAATCGTATTCCGCCTTATGATAAACTGCATACTTCCCACTAACTTGTATGCTTAATCAGCCGTCAGATATAAATATGTATAAATAGTCTATGGCAACGCAGAACATTGAGTCTAGAGCATGTCTCTAACGAATACACTTATGTTTAACGATTTGTTCCTAGCTATCTGTCCCAAATTCATATAATCATCACTCACGTATTCAAATTTTGTTTTGATAACCATTCATGTGTATTAGTAGTATTACTAAATTCTATCACGGTCAAGTAAACATGGGGTTGAGGAAATCTCCCCGTAACTAAATAAACCGTATCAAACTAACTGGAACACTAGTTGGAATTCTCCACGGTAATACTTTTGTTCATTCAGTTAGCCTACTAATACAGATGCAATTGGAATTCAACTCATATGGACAACTTACCGGCATAATCGTTATTTGATTTCATAATTTAAACCAAAACTAATACCAATATTAACATTTCCACAATATTCATTACTTTAATATTTCTAAACACAAAATACTACCTATACGTTAAGTTATGAACCAACGGCTATTAACACGCATCGATTTATTATTATTATTGTAATTCCGTTTTTTATAGCTCAAATAATCTTCACCCAAATAGTCATTTCAAGCGTTTTAAGCATGAAAGCAGATATTTTAAAATTATTACATGTATTTCCCGACCAGATGCTGCCGCTTTCTTTTTGATTTATCT